ATGCTAAAGTGAGATATAGGGACCATGTGTAACTTTCAATTATCAGAGATGTCCTATCTAGGCTCATGTAAATTAGCGCAGATGATGGTGTGTCAGCTGTACATTCAGACAGTGATTGTTAAAATGGTGGTGGAATTCTTTTTGTCCCCTCTAAACTCCTTTACTTCTTTTTTTATTTTGATTTTTTTAATGTGTTAAGATATACGTAACATTTATCACTTTAACCATTTGTAAGTGTACAATCCAGTGGCACTAAAAATCGTTCACAATGTTGTGTCATCATCACCATTCTCTTATCTAAAACCTTTTTATCATCCCTAGCAAAAATCCTGTACCCATTAAACAATAACTCCTTCCCTCCCCCCAGCCCCTGGTAACCTCTATTCTACTTCTGTCTCTATGAATTTGCCTATGCTAGGTATGAAGGTAGAATTCTTAACTACTACAAATTTTTTCTAATGGTTTCAAACCCAAATGGCCTATAATACGCGGTGTTCTGATGGTTCTTGGTTACCCTCACCTGCATATAGATCAAATTTACAGCTGCTCTGCAGTCCATCAGCATGGAGTCGAGGGATGGGTCCAGGTACCTGCATAATTCAGGAGCATTAAGGTTTATTCATTTGACAAGACTAATGGGCACAGCTGGGAGCAAGTTTCTCTGAAGTGGTGGCCTTCTGCACTTTGAACCTAGGATCTCTTTCCTAACAAAGCCCCACCCCTCTCCTTGCCTAGCTTTCAATTTGTTCCTTCACCTCCTCTGTTTTCTATTTCTTTGTACTGTAAGCTCTTGCCTGGTGAGCATAGAGAGCAAAAATGCCAAAAAAATAACACTTTGGAGGAACAGCCTGCATCCCTGTTCACACTCAGCCCCACTCTGAGTCGCCACGTCTTACATGCGCTTTCTCCACCCACAATACCCGGCGTGCTCACCTGCCCCCCGCCCACATCCATATCACGGCCCGGCACTCAGGCCACCTTCATCTCCTGCCTGAGCTGCTCTGGTAACATCCTCAGCAGGCTTTCTGCCTCAATCTCACCTTCCACATTCTAGCTAAAGTGGTCTTTCCCAAGCAACCTTTCAGACTCTCGTAGTCCCAGGAGTTAGATCATTTATCCTGCTCACTTCCGAGTGTCATAGGACACTCCAACTTTCATTTCCAGTTCCATCTCTTACCCTCCCTGCCCTCCCCTCCCCCACACTCTACATGTGTTTTTCTCTCCTCTCCCTCAGTCTGGAAGACCACTCCCCTCAGCACCTCCTTCCCTGACTTGTCTGCCTTTGCCTGCAAGCCTCGTCCTTATGTCCCTTCCTCTGGTCCCTACTCTGCAAGGCTGTGTTAGGAGCCCACCTACTGTGCTTCCTCGGCACTTGAGTTTATCCTGATCACTGCTCTGATCAACTTGATCTTGATACCACCTATGAAGACCCCTGAACCCAGGGGCTGGGTCTTATTCAGAGTTGCCCCTCTGGGACTTGGCAAAGTGACTTGCAAATAGCAGGGCTCCGTGTCTGTCTAATGGATCCATAATCACCAGGATGAACTGAAATGACAGTTACTGTATAAGCATGGTATCATGCTAAGAACTGACAGAAATGGTCAGGAAAGGGTGTGCTATGGCTGGTCTATAACCAATCTGAAGGCAGAGGTAAGCAGAATCACTACACTCAGATGTGTAGGATGACTGGACCAATGAGACTGGCTTAGACAAGGAAAGGATGAAAATATTACTTGAAGATCAACTTCATTCTGAGGAGAAGCAACTGAAGTATTTCTACTCACATCTCACTTAGCTATTTCACTCACGCCTCCCATGGATCCCTTGTGGCAGAGAATAGAGACTATTGCATCGGGGAGTCAGAGAGCACCCAGGCCCATCCCAGCCTGGAGCTCTCAGAGGCCAGGGTGGGCGCCCTCTGGTCTGGAAAGAACTATATCATCATTAGAAAGATGCACCAGGGGATTCATGGACAGAGAAAAATCCCTAAGATTCTGGCTAGGCCTCACGGCAAAGCCTCATCTGCTAGGAATCCCACAGCTCGTGGCAATGGAGCTAGGCTCCCTGCTCCCACCTAGTGAGACCTCACTCTGGAAAGTGGACCAGGCACCTGCGGAATCCTACGCCAGTCCCTCCCCTTTCAGTGACCTGCTCCTCACCTCTAACAAGTGAAGTGGGACCTCCCTTCTTCCCAGTTCCCATGAGCAAAGGCAATTTGCCTGGATCCAAGACACTGCTTTGTGATAGGGTAGACATTTTATCTTGCACTTATAATCTAGAATTTACCTATTTAAAGAAGACATAAGCAAAGCCCAATTTCCAAATTCAGGCTTCAAGGTGAGGGACAGAATTCTCATCTCTCCTCTACCTCAAGTTCTCTGGGGAACTTATATGCAAAAAGTTTAAGCCCCAAGGATTTTCATTGTCATTGTCACTATTATGATCATTATTATCCTCAATGTAACGATAACAAACCAGACCAAAATTTACTGAGTATACGATCCTGTATAGATTACTTTATTTAACCCTCGCAATAATCCTATGAGGTAGACTCTATTATTATTATTTCCATTTTACAGACAGAAATTGAGGCTTAGAGAGCGTGAATAACTTGGCTAAAGTTATTCAGCTAAACCCTGAAAGAGTCATGACTTAAATTCACGTACTGTGATCCCAGGAATAATCGTGCTCAGCCACTCATGCTACTAAGCAGCTTCCAGAACAGCTACTCTATAAACCCTTCCATAGAACTGTGAAGGGGTTTTCCTTTTCCCTTCTCAGGGTTCCACGCCACAGCTTTTGACCCTTTCTCAGAATACTTTTGAGTAACAGTAAATGAACTTCTAGCCTTGCTGGGAATATCCTTCCAGAATCCAAAACCGCAGACTGGAGCTCTAGCAGGGCACCACGAGGTCAAGAGAACTACCATTCCTCAACTTCAAAATGCCTTTCTTTCAAGCTTCCGTGCTCAGATTAGAGAATAATTGAGCTGGGGGAGAGTGAACCAAAGAAGCAATCCAATACAGCCATGGTAATAATCACTGGGAACTCCAGGGGACAGGGTGTGTGTGGAGGCGGGCTGGGGGAAGTGTTCTGTGTTTTGTTCTCCATAGGGCCCTCTGTTTCTGGGGGAAATGACAGTATTTTTTGCAAGGTGTCCTACTGATCTAGGAATATGGCTGGCCCTGGTATATGTGTGTTCATTGCTGGAATCCTTTAGGAAAGGTAAGCCGACTACTTAGAGTTCAAATGCTCTGCAAGCTGGCAAAGCCCAGCCTTCGGCTTCAGGGAATACCATAGTTCAACAGATGAATCAGGCCCGCTTGTAGTCATCAACAAGGCCCTCAATTAATACAGCCAGCAATCCATTGCAAAGCAAGCCTGTGGCCCACAGTGCTTCACCGTTACCAGCTTCTATCCCCACCCCAACAGCCTTTGTTTTCCAAGCCTTACCTTCATGACTGTCATCCTCATAATATGCTTCAGGTATTTACTTAAGATCAGTGAAAGTCATCCTTGGCATCCTATTCTTCAGGACAAAGAAAAATCCTCGTTCATTCCTCCCTCTCTCCTTCCCTGCTTTCCTCTTCACCTTCCCCAAGCTCCTAGTCTCTCACTCGCTGTGGGGTTGTGAGCCGACATGGTGAGACTGACCAATTCTGATCAGCAGTGCTAAGATCGCCTCATCTCGCACTGCCACAATGCTTACTCACCACTTCCTGAGTCCGACCCTGCAGTCTTCCACTTCAGAGCTTCGAAGACTCACATAAGGGAGTTCAAAGTCTGCCAATTTTTTCATGACTACAGAAAGGGGAGAGGGAGTCCTACTGGTTGAAACAGCACAAATAGTTTACATACAGTGGCTTTAAAATGAGAACAGGAAGCATTACCACTGGAAAGGATAAAACACAATAATAATATTCTCTTGCACTTGTAATTTTTAATTTTCTAAAGTTTATTCAAAATATAAATAATATTTTATTCTGATAAAATAACAGCACCTTAGTAAGTGATATTTTATCCTTGAGATAGATGAAGAAACAGGTCCAGAGAGGTCCAGCCCCTTCACCAGCACACCACGTAGCCCAGTGGCCGCGCCAACACACAAACCCCTTAATTTCTAACTTGAAACTTCCTCCCACAGCTTCTTGAGGACATATGTAAACTACTTTGAGATGATTGATAGCATTTCACAGCTAAAAAACTTACGATATCTAAAAATGCACTGCAGAGGAAAGCACAAGCTATATGAAACGTACTGTCATCTTTCACTACCTCGTTACATCTTTTTTAAGAATCTCAGAATTTATTTATATCACCCACATTTTATCGCAAATATTCCTTAACAAGGAGAAATGGCGGTGATGGGATGGCCTGATGCCTAGAGTCTAGCACTCCATTCTCAGGGGACTGTGGTACAGCTGACGGTGAGCAGCCAGGGGGCACTGGTAAAGGTGAGGTGGACATCAGGATTGGGGCTGGGACCGGCCAGAGGAAGTGCAGTTTCTGGAAAGACCTGGCATCTCGCTCCTGTCCGTGCCACCTCTCTGGAGCTGCTCGTCCCCAACTCACCCTGAACACAGACGAAACCTCCCATCCCCACACTTTTGATCCAGGAGCAAAGAACAGTAGTAGGGACCACACACTGGGGAGTTCTCCTGGCGTGGGACGGGGGTGACCGGCCCCTCAGTCATGACTCCTGCATCTCCTGGGCTGAGTGCCTGTCCACACCTGCCCACCCTGTGTTCCTTCACTCCTTCTTACCAGAGAGCTTGCCCTCCTTGCAAAACCGAATGAGAAATAGGCCAAAGTAGCCCAGCAGCTCCCGACACAGTCCAATTTTCTGTGACACCACCTTCAACCAAAGACAAGAAAAGGGGGGCGTTAGGAGTGGCCACCAGGCTTATTGTGATCTGCAGAATTTGAAATAGCCTGGAAACATCGATTAAAAAGTGCTTTAATGGGCTAGCAGACATTAAATGTTTTCTGAATCTAAAAATGGTACATACTCATTTTAGAAAATTTAGATATTAAAAAAAAAATAGTGTGAAGAAGAAAATCTGTCCTACCACAATGGACATGAACTGGCTTCTGCTGAGGCTGGTTGTCCCTGAGGTTGGTTGTCTCATCCCAGATGTGGAGGAGCTTTTGGATCATTTTGGACTTTACTGGTCATTCTCAAGGAACATCTGTAATTCTGTGATACGTGCCCCCGGGGTCCTGCACGCCAGTCTACCTTCCTATGGGCTGGATTACCAGATATGGGGACTAAAGCTGTTCCCCTACTGCTCAGGTGTCATATAGTGTACCGGCATAGCGTACCAGCCACTCTCCGCCTTTCACGCCCAGGCCTGCTTCTCTCTGACGTCTCCTGTGATGTTCAAGTCTAATTTATATGGCGTTTGCTCAGTGAAATCCTTAGATCCCAGGCACAGGCTGCCCTCATTTCATGTTCCTTTATGACTTTCACATCAAACGGCTTTCATTTCAACACCAATGGGTTCATTTTTACCAATGGGTCACAAGCCTGTAACCTCATAATGTTTTCCACCCACATTCCCCTGCCCTTAGCAGGAACTTCCATGCTACCCCAGATTCCCTCTCTCTTCACCCACCCAGCCCAATCTCTCTGTAAGACTGGGCTCCTCAGTGATTTCCTTGCATGCCCCGTCTGAATCCTCTAGGTCATCTCTAACACCCAAGGATTCGCCTTTACCGGGCCGCGTGTGAGCTGAAGCTTTAACCACGGCTCCAACTTCTCACGATGGAAGTTGTCCAAATACCAGGCACGAAGGGGGACTTTTCTTGTCGGGGATCTGAAAATGACCTCGTGAGGAAGTCTTATTAGGTGGGTGGGATGAGTGGGCGCTCTCAGTATAGCTTTGCAAATAAAGAAGAGCCCAAGAACTTTTCACACCTTTACTTAACACTCATCCCCATTCTTCTTTCTACATCACTCTCTTCAACCAAACCAAACCAAACCAAATTCAAACCACAGGGCTCCTCTGTGTGTGGGGTGAGCATGTGCTGGTAGGTAACATGGTAAAGACATCTTGTCCTAGAGTAAATATGACCCACGTCCACTCAAATGAGATTCTCTCTTCTCTGAATCATTCAGTGAAGACAGCAAGCTTACATGCCAAGGCAGACAGAAGAATAGGAAAAGGAAATGGAGTAGCTTTTATAAAGTCGTAAATACAAGCACTTTCTTTTGAGAGGAGTAAGCATGTATGAAGAGACAATAATATTTCCTCCTTAGCAAATGTTAATGGTGCTTCAAAACACAAACACCAGCAATAAAACTACATAAGCACAAACAATGAAAAACAATGAAAAAAAGATTTTTAGCTTATTGCTGGGCATGAGATGATTGGGAACAGCAAAGTGAGAGTGGCAGCAAGTATGCCTGAGGAGATACAGACCGTAACTTTTAATTACAAAATTTAAGTTACAGTTTTATGCCAGCTAGAGAATTTCCCAGCCGCTGGAGAAGAATTCACATTTCTTCCTAGCAAAGTGCTCACTTTACCTTTGGGGGGAACTCCACCACTTTGAGGGGGGAACCTCCAGTTAAACCTACCTGATGGTAATGAAGTCGGTGTCGTGGGTTGGAATTTTTCACAAGCCATTGTGATTGGAAGAGAGAAAGTACATTTTTCTGAGATCACAGATGCACCTAATTAAACTTATGTTGCTAGTTACAAGGGGACCTGGACAAAGCAGATGGTGTTATGGTAGCCTAGCCTTACTGCCCTACTCAATTCTTATTCAGCTCTCCCTATAACATCAATGACAATACCAATTATGATAAATAACCATAACCACCACTGCAAAGGAACATGAGCTATCTGTATAATTACTTAGACGTTACTCTGAAAGTTTAAGCAACTTACCCAAACTCATCCAGCTATGACATGGCAGCACTGTCATTTGAATCCAGAAATTGTCCAAACCCCAGCAGATGGGAGACCCCAAACTCCCAGCAGCAGCCAGCTTCAGCTGCAGATATATCTAGGTTGCCAGCGACCCCAGTGTGCAAAAAACATGTCAGTGATGGTGTTGTTGGGCAGGGCAGGCACTCTCCCTTGTCCCACAGGCCCGACCGTTTCCCAATCATCTCAGGTTGTGCAGATGCGTCCGCGTCACCCGCCGGGCCTTGGAGGTGTCTGTGTAGCCCCCACTCTCACTGTTACTGTCCTTCTCCCTCATTACTGTGTCTGTCTCCCGTTTTGCAGGTGCCAGGCGGACAATCAAGGAAACTGTGGTTTGGTTTGGGGTTTTTTTTTTTTTTTTTATAAATCTCCTCAAGCATCAAGGGCCTTTGATGCTATTTATCTATTTATTTATTTGATGCTATTTATTATTTAGAAGGATCATTCTGGAAATCAGTGCAGAAGATTAGCGAGACTGGAAGCAGGAAGGCTAGTTTGGGGGCTGCCATAGAAATCTAGCTGAGATCGTTAAGAGCACAAACGAGGAGCATGGAGATGGAGAGGAGGAAACAGGAGAAGGGGTGAGTAGGAGAGAGACTTGGGATACAGTGGGAGGGTGGGGGCGGAGCCGAGGGTAGCTTCTCATTGGGTGGCCTCAGCAACCAGGTGGCTGCTGACACCACTCAACCAGGTCAGCAATACAGGGGCTGTGAAAGGTGGGGGTGGAGTGTGTGCGGTGACTTTAGCAAGAAGAAAGGTCCAAAATGCTCATGCTCAGGCAGGGCCAAGATCTAGAGAAGGGGTGTCCCCTAACTTAGGGATGCTCACTGCTCTTCTGAGGCTGGGAGGGCACGGGCGGGCTTGAGTCTCAGGCTAGAAAGAGGAGCCACAATGCAAGGAGGGACCCCTCTCCCACCCCAGATGTAGGTAAAGACAGTTCCAGAGCTGGGAGCCCAACAGGGAACACTTCTGCTCGTTTCCAGCTCAGAGAGCGGCAGATACCATGACCCCAGCACAAGAGCTTTCTGAACTTGGCAAGGTCCTAGAAACTTTCCCACTTTCTCCTGTTTATATTATTCTCCTGGGTATGTTTCTCTGTAGGATTAGAACTAAAACCTCCAAAGGAAAGGGGCCTGGGAGCAGTGTGTGGGTGTGAGGAGACCGCATCCCCTCGGCAGCCCAGCTCAGAGGGTGGACAGCCCCGAGGGCAGAGCTGCCGATGGCCACATCTGAAGGAGGAGAGGATGCTTTCTAGGTCTCGTCCTTGGAGTCCTCAGAGAACCAACTAAAACTCAGGTCTGGCACAGAATTAGACCCACTGAGGTGTTGGTTTCAGGAGTTTTCCCTGTGGGGGAGAAGGGACAACTCTTTCAGCCTTTGAGAACTCTGCTGTCACTCTCTCCTAGAACCTGTCACCAGCTCACGTGGGTGCAGCCTGTTTCAGACTCATCTGGGCTCTGCCCATCTTCCAGCTCCCGACCATGGGCTCCCCATAATGAAGCGCTCTGCTCGGTTCCAGGGCATATCCTGGCTGTTCCAGGGACCCGACAGCAGCCCTGGGAAGGCCTTCAGATATCGCTGGAAAACTGACGCCCACAAAGAAAGCAAACAACAGGGGCCCATGGGACTGGCTATAGCTCAGATTCATTGGTCAGTCTCCCAGAAAATCTCAGCATCTCTACAGATATGTTATCCAGAGTGAAATGATAGGCAAGAAGCTTCCAGAAGGCGACCGTATCCTAGTCCCTGCCTTCAAACAGAATGCTTCCTCAGTGCAGTTCTGGAGCTGGAGTTTGGATGGAGTTTACCTCTAGGACTCTTTCGGCGGTGTCTGATGTGAGAATTTCAGCTTGAATGCTCCTTCCATCGGGCAGAAATATGTCCAGAGACGTTCTCTTGGCAGTGATGCTAAACGTGTCCTGTGAGCAGAGGGAAAGCACGGTGAGCCCCACAGGGCCCTCGGTGGGGCACCTGGCAGCAGGGGACAGTCAGCAGTGTCCTCTCCCCAGGCCCTGGGGGTATGCAGTCCCCAGAAGGACACAGAGCTAATGCAGAGATTTGGTTCTAGGGGACAGGGCAGGGATTAGAAGGGGGGTGTGGAGAAGCGCTGAGGCAAAGCAATGACTCACAGCTTGAATAATTCCAAATGAACAACAAAGTATCCATTTAAAAAAAATCATCCCAGTGACCCTTGGTGGTCTCAGATTTTAACTCTTCGAATATTTCCAGGCATCCCTAAAAGTCCATAAAATGCAGTAATTTACGATTCTGCTACATCAAACATCTGAAGTGTGCAAACTCTGAGGCCTGTGTGGGGAAGCAAGGTGCCAAACTGCAGTGGGCTCCCAGCTGAGGGCCGGCACCCCCAGCTCTCCGCAGCTCTGCTCGTGCTCATGCGTTCTGTGAGGAGACACATCTGTGCTGGAGGCGAGTGCACATCTGAGGATCTGTGAGGTCCCTGGGCGAAGTGCTCTAGAATATCAAGGACACGCTAGAGACTCTGGAAGGCCATCAGAGTTTAGGAAAGGGCACAGCTGAGGTTGATGCTCAGCTTACCATAGAGAGAGGGACGCCAGGAAGGGGCGTGGCCAGTGGCTTCCCAGGCAGGTCTCACAGGGTGCTGCAGCTGAGGGTGGGCTGTTTCTAGCGCCTCCCAAAATGGATTCTGTCAGTCTACAGGGTCGCCTTACCTCCAGGGGGCTGACTCAGGTCACAGGCTTTCTCATCCCTGGTCCTACAACAGGGTTAACTCCTAGTGCCCAGCACCACTGCATGCAGTGAGCTCATTTCTCTTCTAGGCGTTGAGAATGGCACTAATTATGGGGCATCCTTGAGAGAACTGAGAGTCACTGAAACCATTTTCTGTGTTCTAAGACTACTACACAAGAATGCATGAGCACGAGCAGAGCTGCGGAGAGCTGTGGGTGTCGGCCCTCAGCTGGGAGCCCACTGCAGTTTAGCAACTTGCTTCCCCACACAGAGGGCAGAGTGGGAAGGGGGAAGTATAATCTCTTTCTAGTGACTAAAATTTTTTTATCCAGCCCAGGTCACCTTCCTTCCTGGTATCTGGTTGGGGAGAGGAGATCTAAATGATCAATCTGAAGATCGTTTGGAGATCATAGAATTGGAGCTCAGGTAGGCTGACCAGGTGAAACCCTTCCACCTGAGCGGGCAACACCTCCGCTTTCCTTAGTCCTCCTGGACGCTCCCCGCCAGGTTCACAGACACAGCAGACCAGGCATCAGGCTTTGTAGAAAACCAGGGGATGCAACAACTCAACGACATTGATTAGGTACCTGAAAAGGCCAATCACATTAGTGACAGGCTTATTTTTCCTAATTTTGTTCCTAAAGCTTATCAAAAGATAAGCTTTAATTTTATTAAAAAATTTTTAACTTTAAATTTTAACCTCCCCGCCACTGCCATACTTACAATTACTAAGTTTCTATGATTCTGAGCCTAAGTACTTTAGAAGAGAAAATGTGCTGTTTTCCAAATTCAAAGGGTTGGTCCAAAAAAAAAAAAAAAACCTTACGTTTGTGAATGTATTACATCTCCATATATAGGCAAGTGTATATATAGCATATCATTTATAAATATGTATGTATTCGTTATATATAAATATATTGTTAGATCTGACACTGATCATGGTGCTGTGTGCTAACTGCTTTACATATAATAACTCATAAGTCTCAGAACAACTTTATGAGGTATACTTATTAATCTCCCTTTTTTCAGGTGAAGTAAGAGTTCACAAAGGTTAAGTAACTTGCCTGAGGACACATTGCTAGATGGTGGCAGAGGCAGGAGTCAAGGCCAGCTCCACATGACTCTAGGGCCTGGACTCTAAATGGGAAGGTTCCAGTATGAACCTGTCATCCAGCATTGCTATGGACGGGATGTGTGTGTCCTCCCCCCACCCACACCCCAATTCATATGTTGAGACCGAACCCCCAGTGTGGTAGTATTTGGAGATGGGGCCTTTGGGAGGTGATTAGGGTTAGGTGGCCCTCGTGATGGGATTAGTGCCTTTATAAGAAGAGACACCAGAGAGCCTGCTCTCTCTCCATGCATACAGAGAAAAAGAAATTTATTTCTCACAGTTCTAGGAATTTTTGTTATTTAAGCTACCCAGTCTGCATTTTGTTATGGCAACCCACACGGCCTAATACAAGTGTAATAATTACAGCACGTCTTTCACTCCCCCAAGCATCTAAGCTTGGATAAGTTATATGGCCACCAAGTTACCACCATAACACCAGCATAAGGCACCATGTTATGCTCCTTCCCTCCATAGACTAGGTTTCTGGGTGCATGATGTGAATTTGCCACTTACTGATCATCATGTTTGTCACTTTTCAAACATTGCTGTGACTTCTCCCTGTCAGAACCGGCCTCTGCATCAGGCAGCGTAGAACCACCAACCAGGCTTTCCCTCCAAGCGACCAGTCCTGGCACATTCCATTTCCCAGAATCCTTTGAGGATGTCAGGGCCCTTGGTTTCCCTGCACAGCACAGGTCCTGAGCAACCCCCACACGACCTAGGGCCACACTTTCTTACTTTCTTCATTCTCACTTTTCCAGGGGCATTCTGGAAGATTTCCCTAGTTCCCCGGCATGATAACTGACTGATGGTGAATCATAGCAGGACCCCGAGGCCCCCAACTTAGCTGCTACACAGGTAATCAAGGGTAAAGGGTTTCCCAGAGCAACTGCTGCAAATAGTCCCTTTCTAGGTACATTTTGCCTAGGTCTTGGATTCTTAAAGGTTTTTGGCCTATACTCACAAACATCTCTTACCTCAGGGGAAAAACATTCATAAAATAAATGGAAAGAAGGTCATTGATTTTTGATAATTCTAAAGGAAAATATACCACTGATTTCAGTTACCTCAGTGCAACTCCCACCTCAAACCACATCGCAGACCAGTAAGATATCTAAATTACATAAACAGTTAAAATGACATAAATGCATATTTTTATTAAATTCTCCTGCAAAAGAAAAGTGAGGACGCAGAGTGGATTAGTAGGGCAAGTAAGATTATAGGTGGTCGTGAATCTGGCACTCGAGAATTTTATGTAAAAAGCAGAAAGAAGCCATGGTGGTTCTGGATCAGGGAAATGGAAGGATAGAAATGAAGTTATAGAAAGATTTTTCTGGCAGTGTGGTGACAATAGACTAGAAAAGAGTCTGGAGGATGGGGAGACTCGAGGCAGGTTGGTTGTGGTAATCCGCAGGGAAGGCACTGAGGGGTGGGGCCAACCACATGTTTAAGAATCACACCAGCCACAGAGCTGCTCGGGTTAGCAGCCTCCGCCCCCAAACCCCCGCACCCGCATGCGACCTGGTATAAACCCGGAGAGGTTACTCTCCTTCCGTATTCCCCATTTCCTCAGCTCTAAAATAAGTCTAGCAATTGTGTCCACCTCATCGGGCTGCGGGGAGGATTCAAAGGGTAACGTGTGAAACTTGGAATGGCACTCATTACAATCACTCATTACAATCACTCAGATGGCAGCTTTATTTTGTCATTGTTGGGAATGAGGAGGAAGACATACATGCCTTTGATTTGAATTAGTGGCAACAGATAAAAAGTAAAGGAATCAAGAAAAGATTCAGGAAGATGTTTCCAACACTCACATCCTTTCAAGTTCTGAGTCCTGTATATTTTATATCTTAAACTATCTCTGAAACCCGTCCACTTTTCATCTCCACTGCCAGCACCTTAGACCCAACTGACGTCTCTTCTCTCCTAGACCCCTGCTATGGCCTTCTTACTGGTCTTTTTGCTTCCGTTCTTCTCCCTCACAAACTATTTTCCGCATTTCCTGAGAAATATATATATATTTTTACTGAATGGCATTTATCTGAGGCGGTTTGCAGGAGATGACTTGAAGAAGATTGTGGGGAAGGTGATTAAAGCCCCCAAAATCCATTGCATAGCTTCTGGGATTCAAAATACGGGAGAGAAATATTTTTTAAATGTAAACCTAAAAATGTCCTCTTGTTTAAAACCCTCCAATGGTCTTATATTGCTCATGGGACTCTGCTCATACCAGCTCTTCTGACGCCAGCTACCTGGAGTTAGCACAGACCCCACAGGTTCAGCTCGGTCCCACAAGTCTGCCCCAACTTCAGACGCCAATTGCAAGTCCAGGCCACCCGTGATTCTGGCCAACCAGCTATAAATTGCGACATAACAGAACTGGGAAGAAAGGAGGAATATAAGAAAGCTGAGTCCCCATCCCCATAACAGGCAATCAGTGGATAATGTCTACAAATTGAAGAACAAGAGAAAGTTAGAGATGTATATCAGTAACCTCCAGATTTTTAAATCTCTAAAGAAAAGCTGAAAGATTTGAAAGCCACTGCCTCTGGAGAGCAGGAGATGGTTATAATCCTATTTAGCACTGTTTTACTTTTAAAACCACGAACACATTTTGCTTTGAAAAAAATAAACATTTTTAGAACGATATGGTAAGGAGGATAAACAATGCATCGGAAAATCTTCATATTATGAAATAAAAGCCAGATAAAACATTATAGGTTTGGAGTAGTAATCGAGGAGGAGTTTGGCCTCTGTGATATTTCAATTTTACTAGAATGTATATAATTAATAAATGTAAATGCAATACAAAAGCACAATTAGAGGTAAAAAGCCAAGTTGGTGAATTTGGATTATAGAAAAACCAAACCTTAATTAAGCTGTCATTCTGATCTAAGATCAAGAAACAAAATAAACAATTTGCACTAGAAAAATGGACACATTTCCCTTTAAGAAACATTGCAATCCTCCAATATCATGGGCTCCCTTAACACACTTTAAAACATGTGCTAATTCTTTTCAAATTGATTTTAATAACCTGAGAAATTTGTTAATTTCCCAAAGAAGATCAACCGGTGTGCTTTATTGATATTCTGCTCTGAGGAAGAGGAATGTCTGATAGCCCTGATGCTTACACCTGAGGTTTCTTATCCAAGAAAATCCGTACTTGAACTTGCCAAACTCTAAATTTCCATCACATTTAATAATAAACCCTAATCATTTCACTGCAAGGGAAACATTCTCAAGAGGAAGTGGGGAAATAGTCACTTCCTAGATCCCCAAACATAGCCACAGTGGGCAAAACTTCCCCAATACATAAGTTACCCTAACTTCTCAGGCACACCAAAGCCACTCCAAATACCTTGTCTTCTTTTTCTCAACATGTTCACATGAGGCCACAGAACACAACAGTTTAAGAATTAGACACGTAAAAAGGTCTTTAGTCTGAAAACTTCAGTTTTGCCTTCCCAAAAGTCCCTTCATCTCTAAGGTGATCACAGGGCAGAAGCACAGAGCCTAGTAAATAGAGAGGGTCTAAACACAGAACACAAGGGAGACCATGGGTGGCAGGGCTGGGTGGGCTACTACCACTCTAGAAATATCTCATAACCTTGGTGGAGCAGGGGTTCTCGATACAGGCTTCTGGGGTCAGATCCCAGCTCTTCTCCTTGTGAGATATGTGTCTTTGGACAAATAACTTAAACTGAAAAAGAGACACTGATAGCACCTCCCTCAACAAATTGTGAGGCACTGTACCTAAGGCTCTGGCCTAGCCCTGATTAAACGCCCCCATGGAGGCAAACCTCTCTTATTTTTGCAGTTTGCCTTTGGCCAGCTGTGGGAAAGTCCCCCCTTGGACTCTTGGATTCACGTTTCTGATGCTGTGTGTTCCTGCCCAGAGACAGGAAGATGTTCTTGTGCTTCCTGAACCCTGGAGAGCCAGGCTTGTGGGCCCGTGATTATTTGGCAATAATGACTTGGAAACTGCAGGCCAAGAACTCATCAGACGCAGTGAAAATATCCAGGTAGGGTCTCTATAATACTGAGATGGGGAAGCTGCCTGTTCTCTGTTCCTTGGGCTCCTTTCATGGTCTGGCACGTCCATATATCACCACTGCTCATCCCAGCCCTCCCAACTCCCACCAGCCCTGCAGGAGCAGTCTTGCTGCAAGCAGATTCTCTCTGGCACTGATGGCACCTATTTACTACTCATGAGTCACCATGGCCCTAGAAGGGGTCAAGGGAAGAGTCTACTGGCAGCTGGAGTAGACCCGCCCCCAGTAAGAAGTGGCGACTGCTTCTGTTTTCCTAATGTCAGTCCTGAGTCTCCCAGACTACCAGATGTTAAGTGGTTTGTTGTTCTTTCTCCTAATGAAAAGAAAAAGCTAGAGTATAATTTCATCTCCCTGTCTACCCCCAAAATCTCCCGATACTAGTTTAGATGTCACTGCCTTTAGAAGGGCTCCCTGACCAACGTCTCCCAGACACGCACTCATCCTGTGTCGAGTCTCCAATGTTCCGTTTGACACAACACTTCAACTTGCAGTTGAAGTAAGCTTCTGTAGGGCTGACGGCTAGAAATGCACACGTGATTAATGAAGAGATATATTCTGCAGCGAAATACAACATTAATGAAGAAGAACAAGCTTACCAGCTGTGCCACTTTTAAAAAATCAACGAAGACATCACTTCTCAACATGTTCGGGTCCACAGTTACTGAAAAACATGGACAGCGAGCCAGGTTAGCAAGGGGCTGGGCTGCCTTCTCTATTAAAATGCTCTGTCCTCCAGGGAACCCTCCAGCCCTCACCAGAGCACCACTGCCTCCTCGAAGGCAGTGGAGTTGGTGACCTCCCAGATACATGAAAATCTGCAGCAATTGCCTCCTGCAGGCAGCCTTGACAACCACAGCAATCCCAGGTGACCGCTTCCAGGAATCATTTTACTCTTGCGTACCGGAATCATTCAACATCCATCTTGCAAAGTGGAGGTGGGAGACATCCTGACGACATGGATAAAGGCTGAACCTGGGAAAGTGACTGGCTAAACACCGTGATCATGTGTGAAAAGGGCAGTTGTTAAAGGAGTATTTCCCTAAGACGTGAGAAAACAAACCAAGAGAGAATGCAAATTCAAAAACGATCACATTTTGAGTTTGAACGGGCTTATTTAACAGGTCTAAACGAAGTATATTTGCCATTACAAAAGACAAGTGAGAAATAGATGACTTCTAAAATTTTCATTTACTGTGCTTAAAAACAATGTACAGCCATGAGAAATGAGGTAAATCCATAATTGCTGACCTAGAATGATCTATAAGATATATATTTTAAGATGAAAAAAATGAACATACAGAAGAATTTTTTTTTCTTCTGCTGTGAAGGACACCAGTGGAATAGTTGGTGAAGTGTGAACAAGGTCTGTAGATTAGAAAACATTGTTGTATCACTGTTAGTTGGCTGATTTTGATAATTGTATCATGGTTATAGAAGGGAATGTCCTTGATCTTAGAAAATACACACAGAAGTATTTAAGGATGAAGTGGGTTGTGTAACACAAGCATCTCAAAAATTGCCTGTGAAGGACACCAGTGGAATAGTTGGTGAAGTGTGAACAAGGTCTCTAGATTAGAAAACATTGTTGTATCACTGTTAGTTGGCTGATTTTGATAATTGTATCATGGTTATAGAAGGGAATGTCCTTGATCTTAGAAAATACACGCAGAAGTATTTAAGGATGAAGTGGGTTGTGTAACACAAGCATCTCAAAAATTTTATATACATATATATATACACACACACATATACACACATACACATTTGTAATACTCACACACAGAGGAAAGAGACAATGAAGCAAATGTAAAATGTTAACATTTGGAAAATCTGGGTGAAGAGTCTACAGAAATTTTTTTGTTACTTTTTGCAACTTTTCTGTAAGTCAGAGATTCTTTAAGAATAAAACGTTTTTAAAAATCAGATACAGAAAAATGTGTAGGCTAAGTTTCCATCACTTTTGAACAAAGAGAGATGTACATACATGCTCGTATACACACAGATCATTTCTGGAGAATACACAAGCTGCTTGGAATAGTGTTTACTTCAGGAAGCCTGGGGGTCTGGGGTAGAAGGGAATGAACCTTTCATTGTATATGGTTGACACCTGAACAACGTGGGGGTTAGGGGCACCAATCCTAATGCAGTTGAAAATCCGAATATAACTTTTGACTTCTCCAAAACTTAGCCTGCTTTTGACTGGAAGCATTTTGACTGGAAACGGTCAATTAACACACATTCTATACATTATATATATTACATACTGTATTCTTACAATAAAGTAAGCTAGAGAAAAGAAAGTTTTTTTAAATCATATACAAAGGCCACATATTGTAAGATTCCACTTATCTAAAATGTCCAGAACAGGCATAAAGATAGAGACTAGTGTAGTGGCTGGTGGGAAAGAGGACTAGGGAACAATTGATAATAGGTGTGAGATTTGTTTTTGGAGTGATGAAAATGTTCTCAAATTAGATCGTGGTGATAGCTCCACAATCCTGTAAATATACGAATAACCATTGAATTGTACACTCTAAATGAGTGAATTTTATGATGTGGAACCTAAATCTCAATAAATCTATACATGAAAAATCCAAAGACCTACCATTTTGCAGGTATTGTTCCAATTGGTCCCTCCTCTCATCGGCCATAGATGTGGTCATCGAAAGATAATGCTTTGGTGGAAAGGGAGGCAGGCAATTTCCAAACACTCGTCTCAGCTGAAAGATGCACAAAACACACGTTTATGGCAAAGAGCCTCCAAGTCAAGGCTGGGGAGATAGCAAAGCCCCCTCAGAGGGCACACTTCACTCCAGGACTTTCTTTAAAATTAACCCTTCCTGGTGGCCGAAGGGAGGAAAGAGAGATACTTTGATTGGCTTAAGGAGGAATTTATTTCAGTATAGATTCCTAGAGATACTATATTAGACATATCACAGAATGACAACTTCAGTCTGAGTTTGGTAGATTTGGGGTACATTAAAATTTTTTGTTTTCATAAGACTACCTACCACTCACATCATACAATTCACACCTCAATAGTATCTATAATATCAATGATGATCGTTAGGAATTTAATTTGCTACCCCACATCTGCCTCCACCAAATCTGAGCGTAACAGCAGGTGTTTACAGCTGTGCTAATATGGCAGCCACTCAGCCACCTATGGCTAATGAGCACTACAAATGCAGCCAGTCCAAGCTGAGATGTGCTCTAAGTGTAAAACATAACAGACTGTAAAGACTTAGCTGCTTATAAAAGAGAATGTAAATATCTAACAATTTTTAATATTGATTACATGTTGAAATGATAATAGTTTGAATATATTAGATTATGTAAATATATTAAAATTAATTCTACCTGTTTCTTTTTATGCTTTTTAGTCAGGCTACCAGAATATTTTAAATTACATGTGTAGCTCATATTATATTTCTTTTGGACAGGGTTGGTTTATAGAATTCCCATAAGGCTGACATATGATCTCACTAGAAATCACCCTTCCTTTCCACCCACGCACGTATGACCCCAAACCATGACAATTATATTTATTCAAGTCAGCAGTGGAGGCATTAAAAATGATTTTTAATTTAAGATCACCGAGGTATGTCTTCTTCATGCCAACCCTACGCTTAGAGTGGCACCTTGAAGTTAAGGCACAGCATCGTCCTCCTTAAAGCAGGATAAAGGAAACCAGTCAGACGCCCAGTCAGGTTTTAATGGCACCTCTGGAGGAGTTAAACTCTTACTGCTACAATAGTCAATGCTTAAAGAAGATGAAACAGTTCCAGACAGACGAGACTGAAAACAGGGAAGAATTTTAATTCCATGGCCTTTGTCACAAATACAGTGTGCATTTGGCAAATATTTACCTTGCATAGGTCCTAACTTCAAAATGCACGGAGAACCCAACCACTCCTCTCCACCCCCACTGCCATCAGCCTGGCCAAACGACTGTCATCTTTCTCAGGTTACTGTAGCCTTCCAAGTCCTCGATTCCCTTCAGCTTACTCCTAATACAGAATCTAAAATGATATTTTAAAATGTAAGCTAGATCATTCCATTGCCCTGCTCAAAACCCTGCAGAGTTTCCCATCTCACTCAAGTAAAAGCAAGTATCCTTAAAAGACCTAGAACTGTGCCATCCAATATGATAGCCACCTATGACTCCTTAATTTTGAACTACAATTAATTAAAATGTAATAAAATTTAAAATTCAGTTCCTCAGTCATACTAGCCACATTTTTAAATACTCAGCAACCACTCAAAATATGGCAAGTTCTTTCAGAACTGGGAAAAGCCAATATAGAGCATCAGCTAGAAAATTCTATTGGACAGTGTTGGTAACTTTCTAGACATTATTAATTGTCTGCCTGTAGGTAAGATACAGCATCATAATGTATATTGTTTGGTCTGCTAGGTCATTGTTCGTTTGATTTTTAGAGAATTTGAATTTGATTCCAACAGTTATTTTTGTGATTAAAATTTTTTTTAATTCATGTCCTGGAAGGAATACAGAATGATATAGTCACTTTGGAAGATAGTGTGGTAATATCTTATAAGTTAATGTAGTTTTACTGTATAATATTTACTATATAATATCCAGTAATCATGCTCCTAGATATATATCCAACAGATTTGAAAACTATGTCCTCAAAAAATGTGTGTGTGAATGTTTATGGCTGCTTTATTCATAACTACCCCAAATAATAAAGATGCCCTTAAATACGTGAACAGGTACACTGTAGTGCATCCATACAGTGGAATATTATCCAGCAGTAAAAAGAAATGAGCTATCAAGCTATGAAGAGACATGGAAGAAACTTAAATGCATATTGATAAGTGAAAGAAGATAGTCTGGAAAAGCTGTATACTGTATGATTTCAATTATATGACATTTTGGAAAAAGCAAAATTACAGAGATAGTAAAAAGATCAATAGTCACCAGGAGCTTGGGTTGAGGGGTAGTGAATTGGTGGAACACATGGAATTCTTCAGGGCAGTGAAACTATTCACATGATAGTGTCATTGTAGATACATGAGGCTATGCATTTGTCAAAGCTAATGAAGTTTAAAACACACCCTTAACGTATGAAAATATTTTAAAAATCATTTAGGAGGTGGGGGAAACTCAGGATGGAATGCAGAATGTGACAATTCAGCTTTATTACAAATGTCTGACACATTGCAATAAAGAGAAACACGCACTGACCTAAGCAACTTTGGAAATGAGTGGGGTCTGTAAAACTAAAAGCAACAGAAACTACATAAACGCTGTGCTCTAGTTGATAAAGTTGTTTGCCATGGGGATACAGGTTAACAATTCAAATACTTCTATATATGTGTACAGAAATGAACAATTAAGTAAATAGACGGCAGATAGTGGAAATCAGGTTTCTCATTGTTGGACTGGGAGTTTCAGATAAGTAAGGGGAATAGGCTAGAAAGATCCATATGGTAATGGATTATAGTTGAAGCTAATGGTATTAACTCATATTTATAGATATAGATACAGATTGTTACATATAGAACTATTTACAGATATGCCTGTACACATATATAACAGCTGAGAAGACCTGAAAGCAACAATAGTGCAGTAGCAACAAACACACCTAGTGCCCAGATCTTGGTTTCTAATACTGTTCTCCAAAAAATGTTACCAGGGTTCCATGGAGAAATGGCTGATTCTAGGACTGAGGCAGTACGTATGCGAGATGAGTCTGGAGCATCTTGGAGCACCAGAAAATAAGGAAGTGCTCAAAACAACAACAGTAAAAACAACAACAACAATCAACAATAGAGGTATATCGAAAAGACACTGGCGCAAACAAAGAGCTCACACAGGTCAACGCTGGTACAATTTGAGCAACAAAATAAAATCATATTGAAATATAACCCAAAGTATAAAGTAAATATCCAGGAGTCTATACAGATATAAATTGTTGAATGAATGAAGAGAATAGACAAATCTCCTGTGCAAAAATCCCAAATAATTTATATAAACACTCATCCTGCAAGGCTGAACATAACTCCTCACTCTTTAATTGTGGGCTGGGCAAAATGACTTCCTTCCAAAGAGTACACTACGTAAAGGGAGGAAGAGTAACTTTCCAGTGGTGAAAGCTGACAAACACAACCTCAGCCAGGTGACCAAGGTCAACATCAACAGTGATAAGTCACGTAGCTAGATAGCAGGTACCCTTGATATGATGTTTGAATCACAGTAGCCTTGAGCCAGCAGGGCTGCAGGTGACCCATCTGTAGGAGAGCATCCTGTGGAAGTCCCTACCCTAAGGCCACGACCTGGGAGAAAACAAGGATCAAGGTCCTAATACCCATCACAAGTGCAGAAACTCTCCCAGCAGGTTTTACAACCTGAGCTGCCTCTTCAAGGAAACTTCCCCTCCCTTCTCTAATATTGGTGGAAGGGGGAAGATAAACATATAATGAACTTTAGTCAAGTCTGCCAAAAGTCACTTCTCAACTTCACAAGCTTTTCAACTCTATCAAAATATAGCCTTTTCTATTTGTCTCAGACAGCGCATAGTTTAGCTATTAAAACCAGTAGCATACTGAGAATGATCCAGCATTACAGCTTAGCCCACTTTTTCAAAAAATGGTTTCAAGAGATCAAAAGGAAAACACACTGCTTCTGTTCTTTTATTGTGAGGTGTTTTTTGTTTATTTGGTCTTTTTTTTTTTTTGAAAGACCATGTTCAGATAATATATTTTTAATTCCAGAACAATCTCTTGCACTGATTTTTCTATCATGCAGTTCTGTCTTTTAACACAAAGAAGACTTTACTGACCAATTGAAAATATTACCTCCTTCCCTGCCCTATGCACTCGCAGCCTTCATACCTCTCCCAGAACGGTGACCTGGGACAAACACAATTACAGACACAAACAGTGGCCTTTCGATAAGTCTCTGTTTCTAATGCTGACTCACTTATCCCACCTCTTAAAAGGCCCCTTGTAATCAAAATCCCAGATTCTCCAGATAAAGAGCCACAGCTCAAAGCAATCTGGGCTGTGGCATCTGGTACCGAAGAACGTTAGCCTGGGAGCTTGTATATAATCCTATTTGCTCCTCAAAAAAACCCTGTGATCATCATCACCGTTAACACTGCCAACCTCCCACCTTGACAATGAAGGTACCTGACAATATTCTTCCACCTTGACAAAATTACTTGCCAAGAAGAGTAACCTGAAGCTCAGGGAGATAAAATGACTTAAACCAATGTCCTACAAGCTAATGAGTAGCAGAACTTGGGCAGCCCTTCACTACATTTTTCTTCTTCCCTTCACTTTCCTCCTCCGTCCCTCCTCCTCCTTTAGTATATCTCTATTGAGTACCTACTAAAGTAGGATTCTCTGTTGAGTAACATGCCTACAGCCTCCATCCATTCCTTTATTTAAGTATCTGGCTTTTGCAACTAAATAATCAGGGAAGACAAAATATACACACAAAAAAAGAGGAACGTGGCAAGTTCTAAACTCTAAATGGCACAGGAATCAAATAAAGACATCTCCTGCCATTGAGAGGGATTTCCCAGAGGAAGGGAGGCTTGAGGTGGGCCTTGAGAAAGGACTGATCCCTGACCAGTGGGCCAGAAAGCCAGGGTCTCTCCAGGAATGGGATGTGAGCCAGGCAGAGGGGGTGAATGGGCTACCCTGATACAAGAGCCCTCCTCTCCCACGAAAGAGCGTTTGCAAAGTTGCATGGCTTGCCCCCATTGCCATGTCTGATGCTGGCAGGACGTCTGCAAAGAGGCAAGCATCTTTTCATAGAGTTCAGTTTCATTTACACAGATGGCCTCATTTTAACACTTGGCCAAATGAGCCAGTTAAATGTTTCCTTCACAGATATCTTTAAATCCATTTGAAGGAGATGGATGATGTAGGCAAAAGCAGGTACATAAATCAAACTGGTTTTTATTTATCTAAAGGGACAGAAAGAAGTCAGGTCAGGCAGTTCACATAGCAGAAAGATGGACAGATTTCAGCAGCAGAGGTGGGGCAAGCTGCCAGACTTTGAGGGAGCCTCACCATGGGACAAGGCTGCAGGTGATGACTTCAGAGGGCCCAGGTCACAAATGATCTCTTGGAAACATAACCATCTCTCCCCAGGTTTAATCTATATGCATTAGCCTCCATGTAGCTTAGCTGAGAAAAAACAGGGACCACGCCACCTCACCTGAGCCAGGTGCTCCTCCTCAATCTTACGGTTATCTAATATACAATCAATATAAAACAATGTACAGCATATAAAATAGAAATCCAATTCTTAAAGCCAAAAATCACACATGCTCAATTCAGTCTTCATTTAATTTAACACAGTGCACAGCATCTAATAGGAACTTAGTAGATATTTTTTAAGTAAATGAATAAGTTAGTTAATTTTATAAGATGACATTTCTATTCTATCGGGATACAGAACTTTCCAGGAAATCAACTGGCAGTACACTTATAGTCACCACGCACACATACAGATGGGGCCTTTATATTGTTTTCTTTTTTATTGTTTTGTATTAAATCAGATTAAGAATTTGAAGCCATTTCACATCATCTATGGAACAGGAAGAATGAAAATCTAGATGAGAAGCGGCTGGGAGAAGTCACCCAAACTTTCAGTCTCAGATTTAGGACTGCCAGATAAAATACAGTAAGGTGTGTCCCAAATATTGCTCAGGACATACTTATACTAAAAGAGTGTTATTTATCTGAAATTTACTGGGGATCCTGTACTTTTATTTGCTGGATTTAGCAACCTTACTCAGACACTTTATAAAATAGAAGTTATGATGACAACGGCAACACCAACCTTACCGGGGCTTGCTGAGCAGCTGGAGTTAAATCCCGTGCACGGATCTCTCATGACAAAAAGCAGATCTTGGTTGCCTGGGGCCAGAGGTGAAGGGAGGGGATCAAGGGCAAAGGAGACAAGGGAACTTGAAGAATGTGGGGACTGTTCTCTATCTTGATTATAGTGGTGGTAATTGTATACATTTACCAAAATTCATCACTCTGAACACCTAAAATTGGGGAATTTTATTATGTTATTCCAAATGGAGTAAAAGCATGTTAGTTTGAACTCAATCATTTGACACATTTTACTGATATAATTTATTTTGTCAGCTTTGTAAGAAACCACAAAACACATTAGGTTAGAGAAGATTCTAGAGATTAAATCCTGGCTCCAACACTTACTAACAGTATGATTTCGGGCAAGTTGTGCCTCGATTTTCTCATCTGTTAAACGGAATTAACTATAATCCCAGCTCATAGGGCCATTGTAAAAATTATACAAGCTATTACATGTAAAGCTCTTGGCACATACCTTAGCACACAGTAACTACCTAATTGTTAGTTATTGTTTTAAATTAATAATAAATACCAATAGCCATCTAAGTTCTAACTAGTTTCTTTAAAATGGAGTTGTTCCTACAGAAAGGGGAAACAGTGATAAATGCAAGGTGTAATGTAGTTGGAAACTGAGTTAAAAAATCTCCACTTTAGAATTTTCAGAAATCTGGGACAAATATGAAGGGTTCATTAATAATCTATTGTATACTGCCCCAGAGAGCACTGGGCTGTGGCAATTCAGTATTTAAGAATCCATTGCAGTGAATCGCAAATTATTTCTTGTTCTTGGCTTCCAAAACAGAAGACCAAGAATGAAAATTAACTAACTTTATGTCTCCACTTCTGGACCTGCTAGGATTTGATAGGTCCAAGTTCTTCTGAAAACAAGCTTTTTCCTGAGTTGATTAAGGAGAGCCAGATTCAGGAATCCTTCAAGCCTCTGGGTTAGTCAGTGCTTACTGAGCATGTACTATGTGCCAGCCTGTATAAGAAACTGGGTGTAATCTTCACAAGTACACTGGACATTGACAATCATAACCACCTATTTACTTTTGATTTCTGATGAGAAAATTGAACGTCAGAGAAAAGGTGAGGTGACCAGCCAGGAAGTGGTCAGTCAATTCCACTATCTCCCTGCTCCTTCCCACTATCTTGCTGTCTCCTGCTCTTCACCTTGTGAGGGCTCCCTTCCCAATCCCACTGCAGGAAGACAGATGAGGGGGGAGATGATACCTCAACCTCCTCCTCCAAAAGCCTAAAACACCTATTCTTTCTCATCCTTCAAGATCCCCATCTGCCTGCCTCTGCAGTCCTCCCAACTCCCCAGACACATTTTTAGTCACAAGCAGCTTCTCATCTTTCTGAAGTCTGAACCCATACCCTTCCTGATCCAGTCATCTGGCAATCGTTGCTGAGGGTCTACTGGATCGCAGGCACTGTACCAGGTACTAGCAATTCAAAGACACCACGCAAATGAACAATCACATTGGAGCTGGGTTTTTCTGTGAATGAGTAAGAAGGCTCCCTGTAGCGAGGTATTCCACAGAAAAATGAAACTGAGCTGTCCATCAACAGAAGATGTTAAAAAGAAACATGGTGTATCCACTCACTGGAAACCCATGGATTCATTCTTTCTTTCTCTTTCTTCCTTTACCAGGACACAAAATCTAAATAAATAAATAAAATGTGCAAGGGAGTGGAGGAGAGGAGAAGATGAAGTTTATTTCCAAACTTTATTCCTCTAACCCATTTTGAAGACTTGCAACACTTCCTTATCAGGACACTAAAACCCATTAGAGCAGGCTAATAAATCAGTCTGTACTGACCCCAAGGAAAATGCCAAAAGGGCTTCAGAGTGAGAAACTATAGTGGGAAATGGCCTCCTGCCTTGATATTCTCCTCATCAGTTTCCTGGGTTTCCAAGCCTGCCAGTACTTGAAACTTATTAATACAGTCGTTTGAAAACAAAAAAGGGGGTCAGCTTAAGAAACTGGGAGAAAGGAGATTAAATACCCATGCGCACGCTTCCTAAGACTACACCTTGGTCTAGACATGGTTTGCTCATTTTGAACGAGGACATTGTCCTGGCACTGAAATGGAGCCCATCATCACCCTGCCAGTGGATGGTCTGGTGGAGATCGCTGGGTTGGAAAGGGGTTGGGAGAATCACCTGCACCCGGTCCCCTCATCTCCCAGCTGTAGGTGATTAGGCGCAGCAATCACCACGTATTCATTAGGTTGTATGCCTAGCAATTTACAACTAATCTTTACCACGACCCTGCCCTCAGCCCTCAAAAGGCCCAGTATCTCGCCAGACAGAGTCGCGCTCCCAGACCCCACTGGGCGCACTTTTCCTCACCTGCCTCAGGTGAACAGGCTGGTACCCACCTCGGACCCGCTCACCTGTTCATTCCAACGATGTAGCTGGCTATAGCGCACCTTGCAGAAGAGGAAGCCGTCCAGGTACACGGAGTACAGCTGCAAACACAGAGACGTCCTGTCCCATATTAGCCCAGCGAGCAGGTGAGCCCCCGCCACGTCCCTGCCTCCTCCCTGCCCAGCTAGACCCCGACCCTGGGCGCACCGTGTAGCGGCCCCCCAGCGCGTCTGGCCGCTGCTGGGACACCGGGATACAGAAGTGCATCTTCATGGCTCTGGTAGCGGCGGCGGAGCGGTCCGCGAGTCCGGGTTGGGATTGCAGCGGAGGAGCCGTCTGACCCGCGGCGCTGGCGCGGTCTCCGAATCCGAGCTACGTGAACAGTCCAGGAGCCAAACCAGAGGCGACGCGGTCCGCGGCTGTGAGCCCTGGGGCGGCGGGCGCAGCCAGGCTGGCCACGCCGTCCGGGGGCGGAGCCCAGCTGCCGCTTCCCCCTCGCCCCCAGGGTCCGCAGGTGGGGCCGGGGCACCTGGTCGCCCCGCCTCCTGGTCCCCTCCCTGCACTGGCTGCGCGGATCCGGTCCCGGGACGAGTGGAGCGCGTCTATGTGCCAAGGGCCGGACACCGTCCACCGTCCACCGCCCACAGCTAGCTTGCGCCCGAGGCAGGGTTCCCAGGTGCCAGGCTGGGCCTGGAACAGAATTCGGGAAAGAGAGAGACCCTAGAGAGTGCCATAGCCTTCCTCAGGCCAGGGGTTTCACCCTGCGGTCTATGGACTCCGGGAGGATGGGGAGCAACTGTGCGCAGGTGAGTGTGTGGGGAGATATAATTCTTCTGGGGAGAAGGTCCCGAGTTTTTATTAGATTTTCAGACAATTCTTTGAACCCACGAAAGTTAAAAATCGTTGCTCCAGCCCTATAGATGTCTTGCACACAGACAGGCCAAAGTCGTCGTGCACAAACTTCTTACCCCTGCTCCAGCATCTGGGTGACTTGCTGGAGGGCACGGGGTCGAGGGTGCACAGCCTAGGAGAAATGGGCCTTCTTCAAGAGGCCACGCCAAGGCCCATTCCGATCCCTGCGGCTTGCAGAATGTCAGTCCCCCTTACAATGAGTCTATCATGAGAGACAGATCATATTCAGACAGGGCTGAAAAAAGTTCGGGTCCCATTACCTGCCAACACTGCCTGCAGTGCCCTAGGAATTAAGATTTTCAGAAAATACATAAATCCAGTAGTTACTCTATGACTAGCACAATTATTTTAGTTTTTCGTGATAACATTCATTAAATGTAATACTTAAAGATTTTTTAAATCCCTATATAAGTGGACTGATGCAATTCAAACTCTCCTTGTTCAAGGGTCAACTGTATTCTAGATGTGAATTTGGGAATTTAAGCTAAGTATTTAAAATATACCCAGATTTTCAACTGCGGTGTGGAGCGAGTTGGTACCCTAACCTCATACCGTTCAAGAGTTAACTGTATTTGTAACCCCGCTCTAGTATTTTTTAACTACTAGATATTTTTCCTTTTAAAATACACATATATATAGATTTTTCATTAATATACAAGAAACCTCATTAAATGGAAGTGGCTTGGGCCTCTCTTGATCCCTAAGAAACCTTGATTTCACATAGGTGCCAGCACCCAGTTAGCTGGGGTCACATAAATCCTTTGTTCTCAGAGTTAAGCATCCCAAGTTCTTTCAACAGTCTCACTTTTAGTCGCTGTGGAAAGTAATCCTCTTAATTCTCTTACTTCAGTTTAATCAGGACAGAATTCCTCCCACCTTGCCATGGCTGCTGGGGTATAGGGAAGGTGGAGGTAAGCAGCAGCCACGTGCGTGCGTGCGTGCGTGCGTCACAAAGTAGGCCCTGGACTGTCTCCATGCTTCCTCCTGTTCTTTAGTGTTCCCATAATCCTCCTAGGTAAAATTTAAGAGCAACACCCAACTGTGATAGAACAGGACCAGAGAGTGGAGTAACTTTTCCAAGGTCACAGATCCTTTTTTCATAAGTCTGAGTAGTTTATTCCAGGATTTAATTTGGATCATTGAAAATCCCTTAAAATACAAGTCACCGCTGGGTGAAAGATGAGTGCCTGAAATGGAATCTGAGACTAGGGAAGAAGAACCAACATTATTTCCTGCATGCTTACTGTGTGCCAGGCTCTGAGGCACATTACGCCCTGGGATTTCCCCAGTAACTGAGCTAGGAACCATTGACAGTTCTGGTTTTACAGAAAAGGGACTTAGAGCCTTAAATTAGGAAGGTGATATACTGTAGCAACTAAGAAAATGGCCACAGGAATTTGTAATCCAGCTCAGTGGCATCAAGTTGAGGGCTCTTGGACAAGTCAGTGGACTCTTAAAATGTGCTTTTTTCCTCTAGGAAATTGCGTTAATAACTGTGCTCACTCCAAGGGGATTTTCAGCCCGGGGTAGATGGGCCTTAGGGCTTCTCCCTCGCTGAGGGCTATCTCTGATCTGGAGGGCCACCCTAAACCAAGGCTAGGGATATCTGAGTGTCCCCTGGAGCAGAGGCTGATCACGTAGGCTCTGAGATCTGGCCAGTCTCCAGGGCAGCAAAGCAGAGCATCCTTGTCAGGCCTATCCTCCTGGAAACTTTCTTCTACCTGTTTGAGCCCTGGCTCAACCCCATAGCACTGTCCAAATAGGAGCATTTCCTCTTTTTCACTAATGCCACCCCTGAAGCTGAACTGGAACATGACCAGCCTCTGTGCAAGTCCTTGTCCTCCTCCATCTCTGATGTCTGCTCCTCCTAGTCAGCTCTTAGTCACTCATTCAGTCTATGAACATTTTTTTTTGCCAGAGTATTTTGTATTTTTTTCCAACTTTATTGAGGTATAATTGATATAACTGTGAGTTTAATGTATACAATGTGATATCTGATACATGTATATATTGCAAAATGATGACCATCATAAGATTAGTTAACACATCTATCACCTTACATAGTTACCATTTTTTTGGTAGTGAGATCATTTAAGATTTACTCTTAACACTTTCAAGTATAAAATATAGTATTCTTAACTATAATCACCATACTTTACAATAGATCCCAAGAACTTATTCATCTTATAACTGAAACTTTGTGCCCTTTAATAACCATTATCGGTTCCTCCACCCCATCCTCTGGCAACCACCAATCTACTCTTCTTTTCTATGAGTTTGGTTTTTTTTAATTCCACATGTAAGTGCTATCATATAGTATTTGTCTTTCTCTCACTTATTTTACTTAGCATAATGCTCTCAAGATCCATCCATGTTGTTTCAAATGGCAAGATTTTCTTTTTTAGTGGCTGAATAATATTCCATATATATCTTACCATTTCTTTATCCGTTCACCCGTTGATGGATGTTAAGGTTGCTTCCATGTATTGGCTACTGTAAATAATGCTGCAATGAATGTGGGGGTACATAAATCTTTTGAAGTTAGTGTTTCCATTTCCTTTGAATAAATACACAGAAGTGGAATTGCTGGATCATATGGTAGTTATATATTTAATTTTTGAGGAACCTCCATACTGTTTTCCAAAGTGGCCATACCAATTTGAATTCCCACCAGCAGTGCACAGTCTTCCCTTTTCTCCACATCCTTGCCAACACTTGCTGTTTCTTGTCTTTTTGATAATAGCCATTCTAACAGTGTGAGGTGATATCTCATTGTGGTTTTGATTTGCATTTACCTGATGATTAGTGAAGTTGATAACCTTTTCATGTATTTGTTGGCCTCTGTTTAATTTCTTTGCAAAAATGTCTATTCAGATTCTTAGCCTGAAGAGGAATTTTCACTCAAAAAGCTAATCTTATAATCAGCTCTGTGTTCTGCTCCTGTAGATAATCTTGCTGCATAGGCTGTAGGGCAGGGCGACCTCAAAATAGTTAATACTAAAGATTCATCCTCCCTTTTGCTTGTCTAAACAACAAATGTAATTGCCTGTAACCCATAGCAACTTCCACGCTTTAAAATCGTCTAAGGACAAATTAACCAATTGGCCCACACCAAATAAGTCCTATATAAGCAAAGTTGCAACTGAGCTCTGGGCCCCAGTCTTCAGAGCGCTAGCTCCTCTGGGACCACCGGCAGAGTGAACTTGAGTTCTCCAACTCTCCGAGTGCTGCTTGGTTTCTTGCAGGTCTAATTTTCGCAACATTTCTGCAACAAGCCCAGTTTTCAATTGTATTGTTATTATTTTTGCTATTGATTTATGTGAGTTCTTTATATATTTGAAATTAACCCCTTATCAGATACATAATTTGCAAATATTTTCTCCCATTCCATAGGTTGCTTTTTTATTTTCTTGATTGTTTTCTTTACTGCACAGAAGTTTGATGTAGTCCTACTTGTTTATTATTGCTTTTGTTGCCTTTGCATTCAGTGTCACAACTGAAAAATCATCACCAAGACCAGTGACAAGGAGCTTATCAACAATGTTTTCTCCTAAGAGTTTTATGGTCTCAGGTCTTATGTTCAAATTTTTAATCCAATTTGAGTTAGTTTTGGGATATGGTATAAAATAAAGGTCAAGTTTCATGTGGCTGTCCAGTTTTTCTGGCACCATTTATTGAAGAAGCTGTCCTTTTCACATTGTATAGTCTTGGCTCCTTTGTCATAAATTAACTGACCATACATGAATGGGTCAATTGACCTATGTGTCTGTTTTTATGCCAGTATTACATTATTTTGATACTATATCTTTGTAATATAATTTGAAACCAGGGAATGTGGGTTCAAATTTTTAATCCAATTTGAGTTAGTTTTGGGGTATGGTATAAAAAAAATTTTAGGATTGCTCTATTTCTGTGAAAAATGCCATTGAAATTTGATAGGGATCGCACTGAATCTGTAGATTGCTTTGGGTAGTATGGACATTTTAACAACATTAATCCTTTGAATTCATAAGCACAGAATATATTTCCATTTATTTGTGTCTTCAGTTTCTTTCCTCAATGTCTGATAGTTTTCAGTGTACAGGTCTTTTATTTCTTTGGCTAAATTTATTCCTAGGTACATTATTCTTTTTGATGTAATTATAAATGAAATTGTTTTATTTTTCTTTCTCATAGTTTATTATTAGTGTATAGAAATGCAATAGATTTTTGCATTTTGATTTTGTATCCTGCAACTTTATTGACTTTGTTGGTTTTAACTTTTTTTTTTTTGATGGAGTCTTTAGGATTTTCTATGTATAATATCATGTCATCTGCAAATAGTGACAATTTTACTTCTTCCTTTTTGATTTAGATGATTT